GGGGTGTAAACACCCCGGTCAGCAAGTGGTTAAATAATGCTACCTTAGACACTGGGTGTAAATTTTCTTGAGGTTAATAGCTTAAATACCCCAAATGTCTTGGGAACAACTGTTCTCCTTTAACTTGAAAGAAAACATGGTGGTAATAGTTGGCATACATCAACAGATATTTCAGTGAAACAAATGATTTGAGATTTGTAGTGACTGTGATATATATCCATTGGTGAGAATCTACTTAAGTAGAGGCTGTTCACTTTGAAAAGTGTGCATTCACTTTAAAAAGTGAAAGTTAGCATATAAGGTGAACCTATGTTCACTTAGAATACCCAATTGTGTACTATATGCAGCAGAGGGACCGATGTGAGGAGTATATAGTATATGCAGTAGTTTATTTGGACTTAGGACCCAATGTGGACCACATGGGCGACGTGTTCATAGTCTGAGCATAATTGGATTACATGTTGCTCATAGTAAAAACCTGTGGCTCTTAGGAATGCTGGGTTTTCTTTAAGAGCAACTGCCGACTTAGAGGAGTAGTGGGGAGTTCTTATATATTGGTTTTAATATAAGAGATGTGCTGTTATCTCTTTTACTGCTACCTCATTTTAGCCCTTAATCGCACACATTATAACTATTTTTGTAAATATTTTAAATGGTTTCACTAGTAACTAGTGACCCTGTACATAATGCTGCTTCAAGGGCATATATCTTTCTTAAAGCTGCTCTGTTGATAAAATCAAAGTGTGAATACAAATGTTCCCTGTAAAGAAGTATTGTCGGATTTCTGGACCACTGCTGCGCTCAGTGGTTTTTCCTGCTGACCCCTATGTCACAATAGGCCACAGTTGTGAGGTAGTGCAGGAAGATTGTGGTGAGGTTGTGAGGTTGTGCAGGAAGAACTGACACTCCTAGAAGTGTCAGTTTCTTAAAGAGGAACTTCACCCATAACTTATAAATGACAACAAAGGCAGCAGCATCACCAGGCCAGGTGTCACCTGCTGCAGCTGTCAGGTGTCTTCACATGCACTGCTCTGCCTGGATGAATGTCCCCTCCTCTCTTTGCCAGCTTCCATCGCCAAGATGGCTGCCGATATAGAGAGCAGGGGTCCCCTCCTCTCTTGTGCAGCTGTCGGGCTCTCAGTCCATGACCAAGTGCCCGACATTTCAGAGGAGTGACACCAAAATGACTGTTAATCATTTTGGTGTCACTCCCTCTGATGGTGTCACCCAGTGTGGGCTGCATCTGCCGCACTCTCCTTGTGATGCCAGTGAACAAAGGCAACTTTACAAATGTTTAGTAATGGCAATCTACAAAAAAAAAATACTTATAGATAATTGCAGGCTTTTTATTCTTTGCATACCATATTTTATTTTTATCTTCCCATTCTTCTCATGTGGCCATTTTAACTAAGGGCAGAATAATCCATCTCTTTTTACTTCCTGGAACTCTGGGTTTGCTTCCTGAAACATGTGACAGTGCACATCATCTCAGGAG